CTACTTGTGGTTTTAAAGACACTCAAGTCATTTAGAACAGAGGGAAGAGCCGCAGCAAACTCCGCCGCTGTCTTCGTTGTTTATGAGAACCTGAGCATCGCTGTGTGTGACGTCCGCGACGCTGTAGTTTTTTAGCTGTAGTCAAAAATGGAGTGTGACAACAGCGCAAACATCTTTCTTTATAAACAAGGCTTTTAGCACTTCTACTTGTTGTGCCCAAGTCATTTAGAACAGAGGAAAAAGCCGCAGCGAACTCCGCTTCAGTCGCCATGTTCGACAAACTCAGCGTTATGGTGTGTGAGGTACGCTACTCAGCGCTGATTGGCTCGGTTAGAATTCTCACGGGGTGGGGTTATTTGAATAGGAGAGTTCCCAGACCCTTTCTATGTGCAGAATTAAACAGAAGAGTCTGGCAGGCCAGGCCACTAAAGTGCCAAATTATTGACTACATGTGTTTACAGCATGATTAGACACTCATTTTATAGTTTATCAGCAAGAAAAAGTTGATTTGGAGGTGACTTGCTCCTTAACTATAAGGTGCCGGTAAGATTCATCCCTTCTCACGATTCATTAGTGATTTGAAAATAATGTTCAATTTGATACAATTCATGATGCGATTTGAAACGATTCAACACAAAGAATTTGCAAGCCCACATCTGGTTTTTAAACACCTCGTTTTATGTATTTGATCCTCTATCGTTTTCAAGTAATCAATAAATTCAACATGAAAAGAAGGTGCACTTCCTCCGCGATATTTACATATTGTGCGTATTTCGATTGCTACAATACTCTACTGAAATAGAACGGTTGAAATGAGGTTTAGACCATCGGTTTAGACACTCTGCTCAGAAAAATAAACCAACAGAATCAGAACATTATTAGAGTTAATCTTATAATGATTAGTAATTAATACAAAACACCAGGGGTCTCATTTATCAAACATTGCGTAGAATCCTTACTAAAACTTTACTTAAGCTCAGCAAAAAATAAATGTACTTACGCCAAGTAGGTTTGTGATCTATCAAACATGGAGTACGCAGAGCTGCACGCAATCTCCTCTTCATAAATCGAAGACTAACGAGAACGTTTCTCAGCTGCATTTTAGTCCCATCCCGCCCTCACCACGCCCACTTACTGCCATAAATAGTCAATGCAAAGTGCCTTGTGGATCTCATCATATACATAAGCCGGCTGTTGCAGCGCTCCGCCAATGACGATGGCGACCGTAGATCAATGCAGATCAAGGAAGCGCAATTTCACAGAAGCAGAAGTTGAGGTACTTGTGGGTGAGGTGGAGAAATGAAAGGAAGTGCTTTTGCAAAACAAGAGAAAATCCACGGAGTGGCACAGCGTTGCTGAAGCCGTCAATGCTGAGTTCTTCAGAGAGATCTGAGGCGGATATAAAAAAAAATGGCCCAATCGGAATTCGATCCCAAGACTCCCGGGTGATAGTCACACACGCTGACCAGTCACCCAAACAGAGATCTCCCCTCTACAAGTAGCCAGGGCACATGATCAATCGGGTCACAGTGACAGGACACACACTGTCAAAGACGCATGACATTCTGTCTCAATCTGTCCCCCTGCTGATATTCTGCATTCCATATACTGCGCTTCAGGCTGTGTGTGTGTGTGCACGCGCGCGTGTGTGTGTGAGTGTGCGTGCATGTGTGTGCGTGTGGGGAGTCTTGTTCTGTGTGAAAACGATGCAGTACAAGTGATAATGCTGCAGGATTTCATAATTGTATCCTTCTCAGCAGCAGCACTGCAGGTGCTCTCCATGTCCAACATGTGTGTAAGCCTTAGTTTGACAGCTAAAACATGTATAGAAATAATAAATGTCTTCTTCATACATTCTCCTGCAATGCCCTGGTCCTGTAGAATGAGCCCTGGCATTTTTACTGTGATTGCCTGTTTTTCTGTAAAATCACAGAAAAAGAGAGCTGCTCGAGTCGAGCAGGCTGCTTCATGCGCGTTCACGCTCAGGCATAGCCCTCCGAGCCGTTCTTTGAACGTTGTTTCAGCTGTCATCAAGGATATAAAAGTTACAGATACAGAAGACACCACTGGTGATTTAGCTCATCTAGTAAAATTTCAGGCCATCGTGCAGAAGACCCGGATTCGATTCTGGTTGTGAAGATGGTTGTTTCAGAATTTTGTTTTTTACATTAATGGTATATTTTTTTACAGTAAGATGCCCACATTTTAATTTGAGACTCGCCGAACGGCATTGACTTCACAGATAAAAAAGTTGTGTGTTCAACTTTCATTTTGGAACAATTTTTCAAGCAAGGGAAGGGAATGATCTGAGCATGCAGGACTGACCCATCATAAACCTTTGTCGGCTGTGCTGAAGACTCTTCAACGTCAATTCAATTCAAGTTTATTTATAAAGCGCCAAATCACGACAAGAGTCATCTCAATGCACTTCACATAATAAACATTCCAATTCAGGTCAGTTCATTAAGCCAGTCAGAAATAATGTTTCCTTTATAAGGAA